CTCTTAGCAACGAAAATTTCCGTTAAATAGCAACATATTATTTCAATTACCATTTAGCAACGGATTGACAACGAAATCAAAAGTCAAAACAAGAAAAAGATACTCTTTGCAACATAAATTTCCGTTGTTAAATAGCAACGGATTAATTCTGTTGTCATTTAGCAATGGAATCAAAAGCTAAAAAAAACTAAAAAAATACTCTTAGCAACAGAATAATGTCGATACTATTTTGTAACGAATTGTCAACGACATTTTTCGTTGCTGAATAGCAAAGGATTAATTTCGTTGTCATTTAGCAAACGATTGACAATGGAATCAAAAGTCCAAAAAAATAAAGCCAAAACAAGCAACAAAATTTTTCGTTGTTAAATGTAATGGATTGACAACGGAATAAAAAAAAAAAAATGCCAAAGAAAATAAATACTCTTAGCAACAGAAATCTCTATTGCTAAATACCAACGAATTTATTCCTTTGGTAAATACTAACAGACTGACAACAGACACTTTCAATATTGTATTAGCAACAGATAATTTTGTTGCTAAATAGTAACGTATATTTTCAATTAAAACTAACAAAATAGTTAACTTATTTATTTATTTGAATATATTATAGAACAAATGATTTTGAACTGGTGGACACGCTTATTTACATTTAGAAATACGAACTTACTGAGATATATAAAAATATAAATTATATTTTTAGATTATGAGTATCCAAAAAGATTATAATAGTCTTTCAATTATATTGTTACACCAAAGAACTTAATTTGAAGTATAATATAGTTTGGGTGTAATTATAATATTTTAATTGTTATTGATCCAATGTTTTAATTTAATAACATAAATCACACTTATCAAATAAACATTAAGTTCTTACATTCAATTATTCATAAAACAATTGGTATTTTTTTTAACTATCAAATCTACAATAGGATACAATTTTTTTACTAGGAATTCTACTACTCATTAAATTTTATATTTTTCTTATGAATTTAGTAGTATAATTGAAAAAATAAAATCAATCACTACTACATCATTCTAGCAAAATCCATTATTCACTCACATAGTTTTGAATTTTTAATCAATTATATATACCATTTTCTTATTTTTATTTCTATATATTTAACAAACAGAAAATTCCACCAATAGTTTCAATTTTACAACTCTATCCAACTACCTAAGTCTCCAAACCCCAATTGGTTCGAGACAATTATCTCGAATGTTGTTTTAATTATGGTTCTGAAAACTGGACCGAAGACCGGTCGGTTCAACCGAGAACCGACCGTCATTCCAATCCAATTGTTGCATCAAACAACTCAGCATGAGAACCGGTCAAGAACCGTTCGAACCGGTCCAAAACTGGTTGAACCAGTGAACTGGGACCGGTTCAAATGGTTCAACGGTTCAAGCTTTTGAATTTAAAATTAGTTGATTGCGAAGTAATTTATATATCACACATTTTTTACTTGTGTTTCCAATGTGGAATATGTTCCCTTGCTGAAATTATTGGGACAATATTAGGTCTTACAAGTAAATTGTACTCATTAAAAAAAATGTACTATTTTTTAAATTGGACTATCTATTAGGTTATATATATTCCAAATTTATTATAAAAGAAATAAGCAAATTATTGTTGTTTGTTATACACATTATATTTATTTTATAATTTTTTAATCAATAAAAAAATTTAAAATGTGATTTAAAATGAAAATAAGGTTGTTTCTACTCTCTCTATTTTGTAACTTAAGATAAAAATCTTAGATATAAAAAATAAAATTAAAAAAAAAAGTTATCAACATTATTCAACATTGTCAGTTGTATCTATTATTGAGCTATTATTTAGAGAAAAGTCATACACTATAAAATTAATGATAAAAATATATATAATTAAATATTATACATATAAAATAAATAAAAAATTATATATTAATTAAACCGGTTCGACTGCTGGTCCGACCAGTAAACCATTGAACCAGTAGCTTCACCGATTCGATGACCAGTTCGGTTTTAAGAACCATGATCTACACATATGCAGATACGCATAAGTGGTTAAGAAATTGTATGGAATTGTGAATTGTGAAATTGAGGCAGAAATTAGGTTAAATCGACATATATAGTGGATGATTTGGTGTTTGCTAAGTCGGACTTCTATGTGCTTTGGCCATTAAAAAAAATTGGCACATCAGCTTTCTATCTACGGAGGTTAAATCAGTGTATTGGTTGACAAGAAATTTAAGGCGATGTATTAAATCCGTATATTATTCATCAGCTTTCCATCTACGGAGGTTATATCAATTAGCCTTCTAAAGTAAACCCTCGAACTTTTCGGGAGGTGATTTGGTCCTCAAACGCGTTACCAACCTCGATGTGGGACCTAGGCATGGCCAAAACCCGAGCTGGGCCTGGGCCTGGCCTGGCCCGGCCCGATGGGCCGAAGGGTTGGGCTACATGGATTTTTTCGGGCCGAAACAGACCCGGCACGGCCCTGCGGGCGAGGGTCGACAAAACCAAGGCCCTGGATCGGCCCAGTTGAAATCTGAGCCAGGCCCGGACCCGTGGTCAACGGGTTTGACCGGGCCGGGTCGGGGCTGGGCTGGTGGGCCTGGTGGCCCGTGGCTACATCTAGTGGGACCATTAAAGCTCAAAATGGGAAGGTCCATACCGTATCCACAAAGTTATCGGCAATGGTGTCTATCGTCTTGCAACTTTTGAGGGGCTAGTCTATAAAAGACCTTGGAACATAGTCTATTTGAAAAAATATTATCATTAAAAAGCTTCTTTTTCGCGGTCGGCCCAATTGTAAACCCGCTCATGGTTGGTAATGTCGTAAACCTACATACACATTGGCGGTCGGCCAGCCATAAACCCGCTCGTGGTCTGCAATGCCTTAAACCCACCTACACACTCGCAGTCAGCCCAGTTGTAAACCCGCTTGTGGTCGGAAATGCCGTAAACTCACCTACACACTCACAGTTTCCCAGCTGTAAACCCGCTCGTGGTCGGCATTGTCGTAAATCCACTTACACACTCGCGGTTGGCCCAGTAGTAAACCCGCTCGTGGTTGGCAATGACATAATCCCACCTACACACTCGTGGTCGAACCAACAGTAAACTCGCTCGTGGTCAACAATGCTGTAAATCCACCTACATATTCGCGGTTGGCTTAGCCGTAAACTTGCTCGTGGTCGAAAATTTCGTAAACCCACCTACATACTCGCGGTCGGCCTAACTGTAAACCAGCTTGTGATCGGAAATGCCATAAACCCACCAACATATTCACTGTCGGCCTAGCCGTAAACTCGCTCATGGTCGACAATGCCGTAAATCCACCTACACATACTCGTGGTCAGCAATGCAGTAAATCCACTTATAAATACATATTACAACTCACAAATGCAAAATATTTCGTTCATATGACATTCACACAACAAATTACATCTATTAAAAAATAAACAAGCTTTATAAAGCTTCGTTCTAGGTATCTATTCAAGGTTCTGTTTTCCACTGCATGAAGTGACTTCTCCTTCGGCAGCATCGGTCTATGATCAATGATAGCCCCTCCACCCATTGGAGACGGCTCTAACAGCGACAACACTTGAGTCTCCACAAGCACTGGCGATCCTACTCGAGTAGAAGAACCACCTCTCCTCTTAAGGACGATCTCTACATCTGGATCATCTTCGATCTCCCCGTCAGATGTCAAATCCAGACGAGTCTTCTTCTTAGGATAGAAATATTTGATAAATTCCAAGGAGTCACCTCTCTCCAGCAGCTTCAACACCTCTCGAATATTGTCCACCTAGTTCATGTCAAGCAGCCCATTTGTCTCTATGTCCCTCTCGGCCCAACCAACTTGGTACCTATCTCACTTGCCAATCTCCATACCTTCTATGAAGTCAATATTTTTTCACTGTTCAAGACCAAAGGCTCGCTCATTGTCAAAAGATTTGTTTTCGATCTCAATTAGACGTTTTACATGAGCCTTCTCGGCTTTCAACTGACGAGTCATACTCGCCATAACCTCCCGGTGAAATAAGGCCTCGACATGTCGCTGTTCCAGACTGGTTTTCTCTTTTGAAGACCGTAAAATGATCCTCATACAAGGATATACTGTTGCCGATCAGCTTTTTAAGGTGACCCAATTCGGCCTTCGCGATTGCTAGCTCGATAGTCAGCTTTTCATTTTCACCTCTGGCGATCTCCACCTGATATATGAGATCACCTTTTTTAGCTTCACATGAGGCATGTCTAGCCTTAATCTGTTCTGCCTCTTTGTTTGTCTGTCAAACTTCCTCAATTCCGTGAGCTAGGGGACTTCATTGCTATAGTCATATGGCCGATCACACATTGAAGCCTCTATGTCGCCTTCATATCCCTAACTTGTGCATCCATCGATGGAGTCCAAACCATCAAAGGCATCTAAGGAGCATTTATCACCTCCTTCGGTATACCGTACGGGTTTTGTATCTTTGGAAGAGATGGTCCCACTAAGTTACGATACCAGTCTGGCTTGTTGCTCTTTAAACCTCGCACGAGCTCTGCCATTAAGCGATCTCAGGGTAAATAATTATTTTTCAAGCCTTTTGCCTCATGCAGCTCGGAGCACTTTTTCAAGGCAAGAATCACGTTCTAGTTGACGCATTGGTTGAGACAAATTGATGGGATCATTTTTTGCCTCGACAATTGCACTCGACTCCAAAATGTGAATATCTGATTCTTTAGAACAAGACCCTGATAGCACCCCTTCTTCTGTCCTTTTCACCGCGACGGTGTGAGCACCTCCAACCTCTATGGTTACCACTGATCAATATTTCAATCCTGATCGCCTCACCTTTGGGTGATGCTCAACTGTTGTTCGCGATCGACCAGTCATTGCGACCTTCCTACGCTTTCTCAAGTTTTTGATCCTTTTTATTTCTCTGTACTATTCGATAGAAGAATCATCGAGCACGTTGGTCACCGGGTAAAACACTAAACACAAAGAAAGCGCGTCATAAAGATCATCATATCGACATCTTATTAAACTATACAGATAGGTATTCACACCTAGTTCAATCGTCATGTCGACCCTTGTCGGAAGTAAACTTCTCGTTGACAATGCTTCGATCATTGTTAACCGCATACAACACTTCTCAGGTTTATCCAACCCCAAGATGAACTCCAATCTTCATCTAAATCTTGCGGTTAAAAGTGGAGCCACTCTCACAGCTATATGGAAACATACAAAAAATATTCATAATGAAATACACTACAAAATGCGATCGCCATACAAATACTTACGAGTTTTAACCACTATTGGAAGATCTAAAGTTTTGTCCATCCCTGGATTTTTTGCCAATTGTGGAGATCTCCAGACTCCAGACACCCGAAGCCACTTATGTTTCTATTTATGACGAGATTCAGGAAGATTCACAATGAACTCGGCGTAACTGTCGTCCATTGGTGCCAAATGTAAGCTTCCAGATTCTCCCTTGGAGGTTTTCCACATCAAGATTGAGTCCAATTCTTCCATTGATGGGGCCGACCATCATTTTTTATGGAAAAGCACTATGAGGGAACACAGTCTGTACCAAGTGTTCAGATGAATTTAGCTAATGCCAATCCCCCGTTCCAGCATATATTCTAAAAATATTTTGGGTAACGGAAATCACAAACTAGATATTATCGACTCCTCTGTACGACTATACATCCAGAGAGAGGACAACGAATTCACTTACATTCATATGGCATGATAAGACTTACTGATGACAGTATCCCAAGATTTTGTCGCAACTTAACCACATCGGCGTCCTTCAAAACGCTAGCTTTCCTACAAATATCTAGATCGGCCAGTTTTTCTAGATCCTACAGAGAAGGCTTTCTCCAAAAGCCTTCTTGTGTTGGCCTAAATGACTCTTCCTCAATCCATGCCTGCATCTCCTGGATCCCACTCATCGTAGGGATCGACTCCCTTAATTGACCAGCTCAATTACTTCTCAGAGACGCCTCTACCGCCTCTAAATCGAAATCATGGCTGCTTTCCGACATTTTTTATAACCAAGAAAGACTTATATATCTTTACTTTTAAGAATTTGAGAGATCCTGTTTCAAAGATTTTGTGAAACCCCCAGAGCTAAGAGTATCGGTTATCAAGAAAAACTACACGTCTCTATCATGAGAGGATGTTACCTATCCCATAAAAAGACGTGTTGTCTCCTTCTTAAACTGTCACAGTTCTCACTGTAATTTCATTGCGATCGCATCTCAATGATGCTCAATGTCGATCTAACGCGATTGAACTTCTCAGATATTGGCGGAAATTGCACGCAGCCTCCCAGGTTCCTTTGCGATCTTACTATCGGTTCAACAATCTAGAAATTTGGGTGCCCCATGTTGTATATACCTATAAAGCATCCTCAAAATACCCACAAGATTAAGATATAAGCAAGGCCCAAGAGCACTGGTATGACCGGCCCACCACTAGGACAAAGACAACCTACTGGTCGCTCAATCGCCACATATCATCAAGTACCGATCTCATAAACTGTCGATCGTTGGTCGCTCTGCGATGTATGAACATGCTCTGACAGACTGAACTAGTAAAACCACTAAATATAGTGACACTACCGCACAAAGGGTCATGTTTCACCATCCAAACTAGTCATTTCTTTCAGGCCTGCAAAAGTATGTCGCATCTACAAAAGATGATCTCCTGCATGGCACCACACTTATTCCTCTTAGCCGTCTAAGTGGCACACAAACATCATTACACTTTACTTTTCCTTGTATAAAGGTAAACCCTCGACACCTCATTTGAGAACAAGCTGAACAAGCTTAGCCGAGCAATAGATTGCAAAACACATACACTAGTATAACTAGCTCACGTTGCAACTATTATTGTAACAACAAACCATCGCTCGTCATTCCTTCGGAGAACCTTTCTTTTCGTCGATCTCCCAATAGATCGGTAAAATCGTGCGTTGCTTTATTTTTGTGTCATTTTATACCTGAACTCATATTGCCCAACGACCACGACAAACACTAGCTACCCTTAATCTCGTAATTAAGGAACGTTGGCAATCGCTTGTTAACAACATAATGCCCTTGCCCCTTCGACAAGTACTGGAGCCTTTGACCAACCTTTGAGCATTTAATTCAACCCTACGATCCATTTTTATTACTTTCACTATCACCCATTAGCATTTGATCACACATACACACACACACACGTAAAACTGTATTACCGTCAAGCTGATCGATCCATCATAGTTTTTCAACAAAAAATAATACATCTTAGAGTATCACATTTTAATTATGATAAATAATATATTTATTGAATAAGTATAATTGATTAACCACTAGCTAACAACAATATTGTTGTATATATATAAAGAAGATGACTTAGAAGTGAAGTGAGCACTTTGTAGGGTTGTTCTGTGGAGGGGAGGGGCGGATGCACATATAAGCTAGGGGTCATTGTCCCCCCCAAACTTTTTTTTCTTTTATTAGTACTATGTATGTATAATATATAATATTATGTATATTTAAGTAATTTATCCCCTTAAAATATATATTAAAGTAAATAAATCTCTCTTCCCCTAGAATTGCACACGTGCACGCCTCTTTCTTTCTTTTGGTTTAATAAATTATATAATATAACAAACTAAGTTAATTAAGTATTCATTACATCATTAAATAAATAATTAAAGTAAACATAATAAAAAGATTACAAAAAATAAAAGTTGGATTTCTGCACATAATTGATAAGACGAGGAGTCGAGTGAAGAGGCAGACAATTGAAAAAAAGTACAAATTTGAGCATTTATTGGATAATTATATTTTTAAGTACTTTTATTAATATATGTATCTATTATATTATTTATTTGTTCTTTACTTCCTTTTGAGTAACAATTTAGATTTAGGGTTTAATCAAGTTGAATGTACGAAGAATCTAGAATTTGCTAATTCGGTTGGGAATATGGAAATTTCAGGCATAGTTGATAGTTTGAAAAATTTGACAAGTTTGACATTAGAATATCTATTTTTGCTCTTTAAACTTAATAATTTGGCAATAATGCTCAAGTCATATTATGTTTTGCATTCTTTTTTCATTTTTTTTAATAAGACATTTCTCATCTTAATCAAATGTTCCACGTTTGCAAAAGTATTCAATTGCTTGGGTCTGGACAAGTTTATGCATCAGTGCATTGCATTTGGTTCTTTAAGTATGCAATATTTTCTTGTTGTCTACTGCAAGGGAATAATTAATTATTCTTAGTAAAACCATTCCTTTAAATTTTAAAATTGTAACTTTACGTCTTTATTGTTAAATGTATATTTTTATCAAAAATTATTCAGTCCCTCCCAATTTATGTTTTTAGATCCGCCCCTGGTGGAGGGGCACTTATGTTAAGTGATTCCCTTGATTCGATTTTCTCATGCAGTAAAAATGTTCTTGTAACAATTTGATTATCGATTCTATCTTATTTTAGTATATATAATAGTATTTATCTTGTAACAATTTGATTACGGATTCTACCTTATTTTAGTATATATAATACTCCCTCCTATTTTTAATAAATATCGTTTTGAGAAGTTCCACAATAATTAATATTTTTTTTTGTCAATAATAACCTTCATTAATGAGGATAGAGATAGATGTTTTGAGAAAAGATGGAGAGTGAATATGAAAAGACGTAGTGTATTTATTAGGTAGAGGAGGGTAATAATGAAAAAATATTTACAAAATAGTCAAAACGATATTTATTTAACAAATAATTAATTAAGTTAGAATAACAAATAATAAAAATAAGATAGAGTAGTATTTATCATTTAAAAAAAAGACTTAGAAGTTAGAAGTGAATGGTCAAAAATTAAATAAAGGAGATAGACTTAGAAGTGAAGAGTCAAAAATTAAAAAGAAAAAGGAGCATAAGAGGAGGACAAATCCTGAAGAAATCCACAAGAGCACATTTCTGTTAGCAAAGCATTCCCTTTATGCATATGCCTTGTCGTTTGAGTTGGTTATATCAAATGGGCCAAATCAATGATATACTCGTTTTAACCACTGTCTCAAAATAAACTAGTTAAGTAAAATAAAAATGACTCCAAATAAATAAT